TAGAAAAGGAAACCCATCAAAAGATGTTGGCTTAACGGGAAGGCTACCCACCTCGATCTTATCCTATAATTGAATTTCCTAATAAGGATTATGAATTCCATTATAATGTCTTAAGGAATAAGAGAATAGTGTTAAATAGGTATGTTGATTTTTAAGCACTAGAAATAGTGGGATTGTTAAGTACGGTAAGGGAAATCGTTGGATAGTATAAGGTGGGTAAGTTTTTTGAAAATGGATGTACCTTCTTATAAGGAATTAGCTTTGGAGTTTTTAAGTTTGTTTCAACTGAAAATATTAATGGATAGTCGATCACGGGCTTGTGATTTTTTCATATTTAGGATAATAAGAAATGTAGTCTTGATATGAGGGTAATAGGCGACATGTTTGATTAGCCACTTGAAGGGGTAAAGCAACCACTTGCTGGGTTTGAGAAGCCTTTTTAAAGGGAAATCACGAGTTTCATAGAAAGAGGAATACAATCCCTTATGATCAAAGCCTCGATAATCATAAGCTCGGTATTTCAATACATACACCATATATTGGCTTGGACGTTGTGTGGATGAGAAAATGGTAATGGTATGATAAGCAAGTTAGAGTTGGGAAAATTGTTCTTCATCACCAATAAGGAAAAAACAAAATTTACCTACTTTATGGTCATAAACTTCTTGATGGTCAAGAATTCAAATGAGGGTAGCACTTGTTTTTGGTGGTTTCATCACCCATATTATCGAAAAGTTAAAGATGTTTAGTCGGTGCATCGTAGCATTAACACTAGCAAAAGGATCCGATCAAATGAATCTTGAGAAATTAATCAAGATTGGGTTCGTTGGAGAAGAAGGGAAAAAGATACTCATCCGATCAACCAAAAGACAATAAAGGGAGGTAAAAAATTATTCAAGTGATAGTGATGGCAAGGGAAATGATGAAGCCCTACCCACGAGCTGAACGAGGTTTCACAAGAGGGTACCTCAAACGCCCAATCAAAAAGGGTGGATTAACTTATATCACGATTGGATGACTTCCAACTCAATGTCAATAACTAGTTTAACATGTTGAATGAACATCTTTAGAATATGAACAACAACGTCAATAGCTGGTTTGACTTGTTCAATGAACATATACAGAGTTATGAACAATAATGTTGTAGTCGAATTTCAAATGGTCAATGCCTAGATTGACCACCTCTACGTTGCCTTTATGACACATTTTTCACCACCTCCACCATCTATGTTCTAAAGGCTTCCATCTAGAATTGCTCTTTTATCCCTTTATCTCATTATGTTGTTTTAATTTGATCATCTATGTTGAATATTAAGGACAATGTCTAATTCAAGTGTGGAGGTGTGTTTAGCATTTCATTTTTTTCCTATTTATTGTTCTTGTGCTGTTTTATGTAATTTATGTGTTTTTTTTTATCCCTTTATAAAAAAAGAAACAAATTCCATGATTAGTATATGCTCTTCTTGATTGATTTTTGATGATGAATTTGATAAAATTTGATGAGAGGAATGAAAATATTTAGGATATTATTATTGTAGATATACATACATGCCATAAAGCTTTATGTGTCTTTATTAATGAACATAATTTAGGTAGTAACATTGACTATGAAAGATAAGAAAACCCTTTGAAAACTAGACCTAAGTATGGTTTAAATAAATGAGATTTTCTAAATTTTATGAAAATTTGAGAGAGAAATACGAAAAGCATTCCATTAGAAGATTTGGCCTAAGTAAGTAAAAAATTCTACTCCAATGATTTGAGTTGCTTAGTTACTAGGAGTATTCATTACAAATATTTATTTTTTACATCAAATAGCAATTTGAATTATGAGTATGCAAAATACTCTAGGTTGATGACTTGCTAAGTAACTAGTTGCCTTCATCACAAATTTCGGTAATCATGTATAAAAGTAAGTGACCACTTAGGGAAAAGCTATTAAGGTCTAGAAATAAAAAATTTGAGATGCTTAAATTGGAAAATTTTTTATTAAAAAAAAACTCGATTTATTGCTTTAATTGTAGTGGTGAAAAAGGGGTAAAAGTAAAGTCGATGTTGCATACTCGAATTATGTTTGGTTATGAAGATTTATAAATCAATTTAGAGACATATATTGATATGATAATAATATCTTAAACATGATCAAGTTGACTATTGAATTTTGTGGAATTCTAAGTTAAGCATCAATGTTTTGTTGAATTCTAAGTTAAGCATCAATGTTTGAAGAACAATTATACTCGGGATGAAATTTTTTTGAATGATTTTGTGGGTTTATCGTTGGAAAAACCTCATGAGACACAAATCGTCCACTAAAAGTAACCCATGGATTTAAAGGCTTGTTGCATATGCTAAATAAACCGTGATTCCTATAAAAGTGAGTTGGGTTTTATTTTATTTGTTTTGCTCAAGGACTAACAAAGTTTAAGTGTAGAAGTATTTGATGAGTGCATAATTAGTATAATTTTTATGTTCTATTAGATTAAAATTTTTAGTATTTATTGTATTATATTAGGTTAATTAAGAACAAGATGACGAGTTTTAGGTTTTATAGGAAAAACAATGAATCGAAGTAAGAAAACCCAAAACCAAAGCAAGGAAGAGAGAACTCACTAAAAAGGCTTAGAAGAATCATACAATCATGTAAAATTATAAAGAAAAAAGCTACCGACCATTTGACATGAAGAAAGAACTATGTGGATCGCTCGAGCAATATAAGCCACACGGGCGAGTAACATTCCACAAGGTTAGAGGAAGAAATCCCACACGACCGGAGGAAAAAATCTCATACGATCGTGTGTGTGTCATGACCTAACACAATACAATAGAAAAGAAGACCATACGAGTAGTAGACATTGCATACGGTATGTAGTGAAAAGTCACACTTTCGTGTCTTATAAGCAAAAGAAGTCTACAAGGGCAAAAAAGATTTAATACATCTTGAAGGCAAAAGTCTATATGGGCAGAAGAAAGTAAAACGGGATGAAAAGTAAAGGCATACAGTCGTGAGCCTCTAGTGAGCAAACCGTGTAATACCAATTCTTCAAGGCTTCAAACCGTGTAACATTAAGCAACAAATCGTGTAACTTTGTTCGGTAACTCCGTGTGGCCAAGTGGGGTTGACACCTACGTAATGTAACCCTAGTTTTAGTTATAAATAGTATTGCTAGGGTATTATTTTAGAATTCCAACTCCCGGTAGCCACCATAGATAGAAAACTCTCTCTTTGTAAGCCATTATGAACAATTAAACATTATTTTTTATTAAATCAAATTGAAGCTTTTGATTAAATCACTCTAAGATCATGAGTTTTATTTCTAAACTTATCTTATTTAAGTATTTTATGTTTTTTTATATGATTAGTTCATAGTTATGTGATTATATTGATTATAATACATGCTAATTGTTTGATCATATTAACTTATTGCTAATTAAGTATTTAAGTCCATGTAATTGTTTGTCTAAACTTGCATGTGGTAGTAATTAGGGGTTGATGATTATTTTTCATATTTTTGTTCAATCCCTTGGAAAACATAGAACTAGGTTCTATTTTCTCTAGTGCTTAGAAATGTGGCTTAGCTTTACCTATCTTTTTTTTAATTAATGCTATTATTGGATTAAATCTATCTAGCACTTAGTAAGTTGTTCAATAGCTAGAGAATTAATCGGATATCGTATATTCGGTTAATGACTAAGTAAGGAAAGGTTGGAGACAACATACATGTTATTGTCTTACATGAATATTCATGTTTAGGTTAAGTTAATTATTTAATTGATGATTAGCGACCATACTAAAATTTAACCAAGATTTTCTTTATCATTGTTATTTTAATTTACTTTAATAATTTCCAAGCACTCCAAACACAAAACCTTTCTTTTACATTACAAGAACATTCAACCAAAAGAAATGATCAACTAAGCCTCCTTCCCTATGGATTCGACCCTTAATTGCCCTAATTATACTATTATGATTAAGTTCCTTGAAGACAAAATAAATAACTAATTTGTTAGCGGTACGACACGCTATCAATCAACCATTTTAATTTTAAAGAAATTCATAAGTAAAAACTTATCCGCCCCTTATTTGTCGGTATTATATTTAAACTCCAACACATTTTAGATTTCTTTTGATGCACGAACAATAGTGAATAGATCATATTATCAAGTCGATAATGTGTTGATAATATGACCTATGCATAATACTTCATCATTAATATGTTTCTCTCGGTCGGCCTTGAGTTGTTCGGAATCATCATCCTTTGGTTATGGGAGGTCATCTAATTTTGGGTCTAGCACATAAGCAACACTCCTTGCAATAACCATGAACATAGTTTTATCCTTCCATCGATTGAAATTTGTTCCATCAAAGCGATATAGTTTCACCACGTTCGATCCATCGGTTGAAATGAACTTTCTACCCTTGCTTCCAACTTCAAAATAATCACCTTAAGAATGTTAAAATTTGAGAAAATAGAGTTGCAAAACTTCAAAGATGAAACAAGAGGACACGAGTGCTTAATTGCGTATAGAAAAATCTCCCTACACTATCATAAAGGTGATTATTGCTCCCATTAAAATGCTACAAGGATTTTGGTAATTCACCTTTAGAATTCAACTTTGCACTCAAGAAATTATAAATAGCACTCTTGAAATTTCTTTAAGAGAATTTCTCTTGAAGTTGTAGAATTTATGAGGAGAAGAGTTTTGAGAGGAGGAGGAGGATTGTAGAAAAAAATTAGTACATTTTCCGAGCGAGTATCGATTATCGAAAACCTTTCATAACCAATATGACCGTTAAAAAGCTAGTTTGATCCAATAGTCATAACTCGTTATATTCTTTTTTACAAAAGGTATACTTATAAAGTGTTTTTTTCCTTTTTTTCCTCAATGTAGGATAAACATCCCAATTGAAAATATCTCTTCACCACACTTAACTTATTATCCATTCGGGCCATGTTATTCCAACAAAAGACCCTCTATTCACACCTAAACCCCACAAGTCCTTAACTTTCCTTATCATCCAATCCCATTTCTATAGATATCTCAACACCCTCGGAAAACCCATACTTCACTCTCAACCTATCCAAAATCAATGAAACCATCCTTTGAGACACCAAAGAAGTAGTCCTACCACTAAAAAACATAGTTTCAAGAGGTTGATCGGTATCAAAACTCAACCTTGTTGAGACTATTTCACGTTGAAGAAAATTCAACATAGTTAAATATTCACGGGTTGGTGTCGACTGAAGTTGTGGAGCCAAAAGCAACAATTAGAAAGCATAGTAATGTTAATGTTTGAATAAAAAAAGAGGTGAATGTAAGCTAAAGTTGGAGGAGGGTACTCTTGATGAAGTGGTGATCGGGTGGTCGGTGAGGCATTTTGATAAACAAATTGTGGGGTTTGTGTATATGTTGGTGATGATTGTTTATCAAGGAAATTTCATAAGGGGCTTTTTGGGTTTGGTTGGGAATGTTGAGAGAATTGGATTGAAGGTTGATTTTAGCATAGTTAGAATGGGTTCTCATCAATGGTTCTGGCCAAAAAGGAAAAGAGAGAGAGATGAGTTTTATTTATTTAATTTTACATTTTATTTTGAATTTCTATGTGTGTAACAAAAACGCCTTGATGGTGTTACGTGTGTAGTTAACATACATATGAACAAAGAGTAATAAAATAACTAAAAAAAAATTATAAATTAATTCTCCCAAATATCAAAGATTAAAATTTACACACCACGCTAATATTGTAGTGTAGTATAATTGATTTTTTTTTTTCAAATTTTGTACTTTTGTCTCAAACCTATGGAATAAGTTATAAATTAGTCTATTTATTTTTTTTGAATTTATTTGTAATTTAGTTCATTTCATTCTTTTTCAATTTATTATTTTTTAATAAATAAAAAAATAAAAATTATAAAAAGATTGATAGGAAAAAAGATATTTTATGCAATAAAATAATATTAAATTAACATAATCAACACTAAAAGACTAATTAATTAGTTTTTGAATAAAAAAATATTTAATTCATTTTGTAAAGCTAAAGAAATTATTTTATAAATTACTCTAATGATACGTTGCGATTAGTTTTTTTACAGCTGAAATCGATTGCAAAATTGCTTTTTAGGCGTGACATTTTTTCCGACCGATCGAGATTGCAAAATTCTTCGGAGATCTATCGATTTGGGGCTATTTGAGATCATATTTTTCTTTAAAAAAGGAAAATTTTATAATATTAATAAGCTCAAGATCCTCCAGTATGGTCTAACTCTCCAAGTTTGTTATTGAAAAGATTAGCACTACCATCTTGCAAAATATAGTATCAACAGTTTTGATTCATTGCAAATTTTACAAACGATGAGGGATTAGAATGCCAAAAATTGACTGGTCTATAAGTTACAAAAATAAAAGATCAACTTGGAATTGAAGATGGAACTAACCGCAAAGTGAATTTTTCTATATGGTTAGGGAAAGAACTTGTCATGCATTCGTAGGAAGCCTACAAATATGAAGAGCATGAATGCTAGAATCTGTTGCTGGACTATCAAAGGTTGTCTTGTCTTTCCCTATACATGTATAAACTGCACTGTTGACACATGGCCAACCTCTCTACAGTCTAGTTTGTTGAAGACAATGTCTTTCTTCTCTTTAACCATATGCTTCTAGTTCTGCCTCTGCTTATTGCTGATTCCACCACTTTCACTTCATCGTTCAACTCCTCATCTGTCAGCTCTTGCTCCATAAACAATGGATTTAGATACCCTTTTGAGCTTGATGAACTTCTCTGGTGGTCTTTCTCAAATATCTCGTCAGCGCTTGAACTTTCTGTTTCAACAGGTGCTTTTGCCTTTGCCTTTGTCTTTCCCTTTCCCTTAGCTGATGACTGGTTCCCTTCGTGAACATTCCAATCAGGATCTTTGTCATTGCTGCTTTCTCCTGAAGATGTATCACTTAGTGTGTGAAAAATAGTGACACTTTCTTTCCTTGCACTTTGAAAAGAAAAGCTCCTTGATTTCCCATCATATACTGGAAGGAGAGAGTTTGACCTCAAGCCCTTTCCATCTCTGCCTAAACTGTATGTTGTGGAGAGCTTCCTTGATATGCTCTCTCTTTCTCGTACCAAATCTCCTATTTCTTCAATAACTTCATGTGCCACTGCTTCGTTTGCAGCCTGCTTCTCAAGTTGGGTGATTGTCCTATCAAATGCTTTCTTCTTGAGTTGGAGAGAACGCTGAAAGGAAAAAAAAAGGAATATAATAACATGAAAAAAGTTAGCAAAGGATAAAAGGGAATGATTGATCTTACTCTCTTTTCTAGGAAACTCCCCAAGCCTTGATCTTGAAGCTTCTTTTTCGTCCAAAATATGCAGCAGAATCGTACAAGTCCGGCTAAAATTATCAAGAGTATAGATTCAAGTAACAAGAACATCAATATTGTCCTTTCATTACCTGAAAGAATGAGCAGTCAATGTTTTTTAATCAGAAGCTTCATGCAGTGTTGTGTATCTAATTCAGAAAAATTTGCAGCTTGCCTGGATATATACTATGATGCCTGGGCTTTGCTTGTGAGCAAGTGGATAAAAGCTTCTGATCTGAAAACAAATAAAAGATTACATTCTACTCACATTATGAATGATGAAACGTTGAAAGGACAGTTAAAAGAAAAATTACGTTTGCTACGGCAAGGCAGAGGTTTGCCATTCCCTGCATGATTCACAAAAGCCGAGATATGATTCACTTAAGAGCTCAATATCAAGTTCGAAACATATCACATGCAAATGTCTATATACATTTGGTAATTAGTAAGATCAACTATCCACTTCAGTCACACATTCATATACAAAGGCTTGAGATGTTAGGTTTAAATAGAAAAGGATAAGGAATCCAAGATCGAGAAAGTAGGCTTAAACCGTCAGATGCTCGGTTTTCTTAAAAGGCTGAAAGATCCTGTAGAAATTTTTGATAAAATGATGATTTCAATTTCCCTTTTCTTTTCCACAACAGATTCGTTACATATTCACAAGGCCAAATAGTTTCAGACCATAGCACATATGCTTTGTGAATTGACACTTACTTGAAGCAGCAATAAAGGAAAGAAGAAGTCCCTCATCCAGTACAAAATTTTTCAGATCACTTTGAGACAGCAAGGATGAGACTTTACCTGACAATCAACAAATGACAGCATTTGGAGTTCATAAGCAATAAAAAAAAAAAAATCATTACAAGACAACATTGAAGCTAGATTGAATTCTAAGAGACAGGATTAGATTGTGCCACATGGAGTACCAGGATAGCGTTCAGACCAGTGGATCACACCAGTAGCTGGAACCAACAAGGAGAAGAGTACACCTTTTGGTTTCATTGCTGAGACGTAAGTAGATTCACCAACTGTGTGGATAACTTTTCCTTCCATCTCAGTCTGAGACATATAAACAGCATAGCCGGAGCAATCTAAATGTGGACTTACTTGAATAACATGATCCAGTGCAGATGCTTTTGAGTATTTCTTTAGGGCTCCAGTTGGTGAGATTGAGTACAGAAATCCATCCAGTGAACCAATAGATACACAACCTGTCATGACTAATATTATTAATGTTGGATGAACATTATAACAGGACTCAACAGGCCTAATATTATTAATGTTGGATGAACAAGTGATATGATAGAAGGAATATAGAACAAGATATCACTGGATTTTCCGGAAGGGAGAGCCAGCATCCAAGAAATTAAGTGAGGCTAAGAATAAGAATCTACCACCAAAGGCATAGTTTCATTTTAGGAGGTGAAAAGGTCTTAGAATGAACAAAGTACAGACTGACGCAAAAAGATGGAGTTGTTGATAGGAAACTGTAGATAGACTTGGATGATAAAAGGTGCTACAGCATCTGACCCAAGAAATTGGAATTTCAGGCTTCACACTGAATATTTTTAGTCTGAACTTGTTCTGCATTACTTAACTATCTCTAATTTCCTTGTATTTTCCCTGCCTCCCAAATCCAACCCCATAACATCTACCTATTTGTGACACAAAGTCATTCTGAACTTCATGTTGTAGCAATCAGTCCTCAAAGATGTCGGAACACCGCATATAGCCTCTTCTTTCAATCAATTCTGACTTCTAGTTGTTCTCAAATAATGAAGCAATATGATATAACAGTTAGAAAAACTCTTCAATTTGAAAAAAAAAAAAAAAATCAAGATTTACCGTTGGAATCCACAACCGGTGCACATTCAGCTGAACCTAAGGGTCCAATACTCGTCTGCCATACAATATTACCCTTCAAGGCATCTAGAGTCAACACAAGTGATCGTGTGGGTACTGTCACATACAACCGGCCGTTGTTTCCAGGTGTGATAGTGTAGTTTTTGTCAAATGAGCTTAGGTCCTGAACCCAGTTAAAGTGAGGACTACGAAGAGACAATGAATATAATTCTCCTGCAGTATTTGAAATCTGCAAATGCAAAACAAGATACATGTCCATAAGCTCAAAATGTACGCAGACAGGACTAACCCCGACTGCATGCATTAGAAAAGAAAGGAAGAAAGAAAGAAAGCTTGGAACTGCTTGAAGTCAAAGAAAGCCTAAAATTCAACATTTAAATGCAGTTCTGCCACTAAAATTAGAAACTCTGGCAAGGAAATTATTCATGTATGAAGCAATTCTGAAGGCTGGGTATGCACTCTCGGTGTAAATATTGTGAAGAACTGCAATATCAGTGCAAATACTGTGAAGAAATGTTGCTCAAAGCTGTAGAAAGGTGTCGTAAACCTTACATATAGACTAGCCTCGCATCGATCAACCACGGGAATTGAACTAAAAGAACAATCTTTTACGCCTTTTCTACAACCTAAACTGTATCCATACTGAGAAAGCACAGCCCCAGCAGTCCAGTGTAGTTTCCCATGCATTTTATAAGCAAATAGCCCTCGGTTCTTAATATTTATAAATACAGACGAACTCAATGTGCTTGCTGCAAGCCCGATGATATCGCCTGCACCTGCTTGACCTTTTTCTGGGCCAAAGAAAACTTCTACTGCTGGTGGGGAAGTTCTAACATCGCTAAAATTGATTTTCAGGACTCTGTTCTCTGCAACCAAATATAGCTGCCAATAAAATTCACAAATCAATAGACATAGAACACTGAGACTTTCAGAATATTGCGTCTATATTGCAGGTCTCTACTAAACAAACAGAGGCAGAAACATGGATGCAACCAAAGTTCTATCTGTGACATCTAAACATGCCCAATATATAAAATTGAGGAAAACTGCTTACCTTTCCTTTAGTTCCAAGAACTGGAGCCATGCTAACATTGCATGCATAACCCAAATATGAGGTCCAAGCAATAGACCCATTACTCTCAAATGCATATAAAGTCCTTTCAACACAAATGTAAATTCTTCCATCTTCTCCAATAAGAGGCTTTGAAAGCCTTAAATCAGTTCTTACTAAAGTCCCTTTACCTGAAAAAACAATTAGGTTTCGCATTAGAAAATATTTTCTGCAGTAATATACTGGTATAACAATTACCAAGATATCAAACATAGGCATAATTGCCTTTCAAGTACTTACTTGGAGCACATCAAACAATTTTGTACTTAACTCATGAATCCAAAATAAATGAAAAGAAAGTTTCCATGAATTTGCTCGGAAAAAAAGGAATTTTAGGATACTTAGTATGTCACATGTCATACATTTTTGTCCATTGAACAATACTCCAATTAGCAATCCTAGACGACTTGTGTATAATGTTACAGTTAACCCCCTAAAGAAACATCAATTGGGTATTGCATTAAAGGAAAATTGAACAAAATAGCAGCTTTTTTTATAAATAAATAAATAAATAAACTTCCTAAATTATGCTATCGCTTTCTTTTTCATATCTTCCGCCATTTTTTTCAAAAAAGAAAAACCAACTCAAACAAGGGCTGTGCAGTTTATCATACTTCAAACCTTTTAACCTGTCCCATTTTTTCTAGGAAACCAAACAGGAACATAAATTTAATACAAAAAATAGAAAACAACAATTTGAACATGTTTTTGAGAGACAAAAGAGAAAGATAAAGGATATTCACCAGGGTAATTTTGTAATTCTGCGGAAGCTGAGGCGATAAATAGTAGCAAGAAGAGAAGGGATTCAATTGCCATTGAAGGATTGCAGAGAAAGAGAGCGAGAGAGAGATCGAAGTGATTTTATGGTTTGCTTTGTTCTCATTTTTTTTTATTTTTGCCGAAAAAAATAACGGTTAATTAACCGCTGGGTTGTGGCGGGAACAATACAGAACCGACCGGTTTTCTTCCAAATGAGATGTCTTGGAACGTGCCCCGTTTACTAAATCCTCAAAATATTTAAATTCATCCCTTTATCTATTTTCTTTTTAGTATAGAGGAAATTCTATTAGAAAAATATTTTTCTATTTAAAATTACATATTATAAATAAATGAAAATTAAAAAAATTAAAATTTTCAATAGTTATTTAATTTATTTGTTTATAATATGTAAAAAAAAATATTTATTTATAATTTAAAATTTTATTATAAAAAAAATTTGCTTCAAAATTTAGTTTTGGCTGCACGACTCCTTCTAATCATGCCAGATGTCCTAAACTAATTATAATTTGCATATAACTTAACTCAAGGATGTATTGAATCAAGAAATATAATTGAGGGGCATAATTAACCAAAATGATGATACAATAATGCATAATACAGTAATCTAAATCGAAATATTACAGAGATAATTCAAGCCTCTAACTCCATATATATTGTCTGTAATAAAATATAAGAACTCAAATGAATAGTAATTATCTTGTACGTAGAAATTGATTACCCATGCACCAAATTTTACATCAACCTCTTATCTCTCAAATACTAATAATAAGAAGAAATAATAAATAAATAGATAGATAAAAAAAAAAAAAAAAGTCCATGTTAGTTCTTAATCTATATACTTAATTTCAATCTCCTCCGGAATCTATAAATTATATAAATTTGATCCCAACTTATTCCATAAGTGGAAGTTTAAATCAACCTCGCTAGCATACCGGCCGGATTGTTCCTTTTCTATCATTTTCATTTTATAGAACTTTTTTTCCGTAACAATTTAATTTTTTGCCCCCACATCTTTGATCCTTCCTCATCTTGCTCATCTATTTATGTTGACTCAAATTCAGTGTACGATAGGCATAAGCATTGAATTTTGGTCATCTAAAGTTGTTATGGGTCCAAATCATATTATCATCCAACAAACAAGTTGCAAAGAAATGTTTTTTTTTTTAACCTTGATTGCCTTGTCCATGATGACTCTTCATCACGCTACTAGTTCAACACTTCTTATCACTAAAATGTTATTTTTAGCAGAAATTTAGTGTCTGTTGGATAACATGATATATATATATATATATAAACATACATTTGGCCTAATATACATATGCTTTTGAAAAAAATTCTCAACTGTAACCAGCCGAACGAACTATAATACGTAATATTAAGGGGAAAAAAATCAATCAATGTCTATGGATCCATGTATTCCTAAGGTCTCCATTATGTTGTTATGCATGTTCTGAATATCATGTGTAGATTCTAGTTTTAAATTCTTACAAATGTTTGACATGCTTGACCTTGCAATGATCATTAATTTGCTATGATCAAAATTGTTATTGATGTTCAGTGATTGAGATTCAATTAAACCAAAAAAGATCCACTAGCAAAGGACTCCATAGATTCAAATAACAATCTTTATATAGCGTAACAATTATTATATAATGGTTTTAGAAAATCTCGTTATCATTATTCGGCATTATAACGAGTCTCATTATCGTTTTATATGAATAACCGTATTATTCTTATGTAGCATCGTCATTTGTTGTTATGTAGCGTGATTGAAAAAATAATTAGAAGCCCAACCAATCTAGTTTATAATATAAATAGAAATAAATTTAGTATAGAAAAATAATAATAATATTACACAATTTTCTTATAAAATCAAATGTGAAATATGCAATCTTTGATTATGTTGTGGCTCAATAAATAGAGAAAGATGTATTTATTAATTGGAGTATAAGATTCAAATGACGAGATGATATTCATGGTAACGAGTTGTAAAGTTAAATTGTTATAAAAGTTATGATGTGGTTATTAAATGAATTAACTTTATGTCTTTGTAAATTGTAATCTAAACAAGTGATCCCCTCCCCTCCAAAAATAAATGAGAAAAAATCAATCCCTATTGAAAACAATACTCAATTACTACGTAAGTTTGATTTTTTTAAAAGCAAAATAATTCATTTTTTAGAAGAAAAAAAAATCAATTTTTAACCGAAAACTAAAAAACCAAACTGAAAATTTGGTTTTTTAACGAAAAAACCAAACTGAAAATTTCATTCGATTTCGTTTTTATTTTAGTCAATTCCGTTAACCAAAAACCAAAAAACAAAACACCGAAATTGAATTGAAAAATCGAATGATCACCCCTAGCCAAAGTATCATAAAAGGTCTAAAAGTTAGGAGGGCATCTTAGTTCAACAAAACCTAACCTTTGTCTTCGATTCATGTAAAAGTCGAGATTTTAGGACATAACGACTCAATTTTTACCATCTTCTTTATTGTTTCTAAAAGGGTTTAAACAACGATTCAATCATAAAAAAATTATGAATTACTAGCTACAAAATCGAGTTCTATACATTTATAGACCTTATAATTCAAAGTGAATTACTATAATTATTATTTTTTTCTTATGCACTTGTTGTATCCTTCCTCAACATGCTTGTCTATGTGTTACCTAGTCCATTAAAGAATAGCACCGACTTTGAATCTTCGCGTCCTCATCGTAAGTTGAGGTAGCGCACCGATGCTACACCGTCAGTGATACAGCTAAAGAACCTTTATAAAAAAAGGTTTGTTGATGTGATTACTTGGTCCAGAATTCCTCTCAATCACACATTCACACCACCATACCAATACTCTGTCCTGACGAATGATTAGGGGTTCTCTCTTGGCACAGGATGGCCAAGGATAGCTCTTACCCAAGTATGCCGAGATAGTTTGGGCTGGGCTTGAAGTAATATAGAAGTGGTATCTAAGTTAGTTGGGCACCTTGTTCAGCAGAATAACCACACCCCATTTGTCTTCGGGTTATCAAACAAACCCACAAATATCACTGCAAAAATCAAGATGTTTTAGCTTCTTCCCTGCAAAATTTCATTTTTTTTTTTTGTAAGGGTTTATAATCGGCACAAGCTAGCTCTATTTGAAGCATTTTTCTTTATGTTTCTAAACGGCTTTAAAGAACGAGATATCTAAGGTTTCTCGAGACGAAATCTGAAGAGGAGAATTTCTTTGGGGGGGGGGGGGGGGGGGGGTGTGGGGAGGGAAATCATAGAGAGAATAGAAATTCAATATTCAAGTGTTTCTACTTAAAAATGCCATCATGTAAATTCATTATAGATATTGTATCTTAACTTTTAAGGTTGGTTGTAAGATTTGTATGGAATAACATAAGGCAGTGAAACTTGAAATATTTGGTGCATACAAGGAAATGGCCATCGGCAATGCAAGCCTAAAGAATTTTCAATACTAATCCCTTCATGTTTGTACAAAGCGTCTGGCATGATTTAAACAAGTTTTTTAAGAAACAAATAATAAATTACAACCATACATGATATTACTGTTGAGGGGAGTACTAACACCCCAGAAATGAATACAGAGAGAGAACCTAAGAAGAATGCATGTAGCTAATGGTGATGAATAAGAGGATGTGCAAGAATAAGGCATGCACAACAGAAATGGTCTTTTCTGATGTGAGAAAACTATCTATTGGTATTCAAACCTTAGAAAGGGCTGATATGACTGGCCATCCTTAACAAAAGCTCAGGAACTAGCCGCCTTCTTGGAGGTGCCATAGCATCCTTGGCAAGAGCTTCCTCATCACCAGCATGTATCACAGCAACCATATGGTCGAGCATGTCATCTTTACCACCTCTTAGAGGATCCTGAATAATGTGACCCAATCATTAAGGTGTGTTGGATTCTCAGTGTCATAAAATGAGTTTTGACGGCCAATTCTGAATAAATTACTTGTCATTATGCCTAAGCATCACGATGCTAAGCCAATTTACATAAAATTCAGTTTAATTTTTACCCAGCCAGATCAACTTCTTATTGAAGGTGATTGTAAAAACAGAATATCTGTGCATCTATTGAAGAGGTAGTGGGATTTGATTGACTAAAAAAGCACAATTTAGCTGAGAGCAGTAAGTAAACCAATCATAACAACAATAAAACAAGACATCCAAGTCAGCACTCACTTGAAGAAACAAATCTGTATGGGTTTTTCCATCAAACAAAATTAGCTCAGCTTGTGCTCCTAACCTTTGAAGAGCAGCTGCAAAATCTTTACTGTAAAAAAAAAAAAAAAAAAAAAAAAAAAAAAAAGCCAGATAAGTAAACATAACACAGTGAATCGTCCAAGAATTTGAAATTAATGCTAATATCTCACTAGAATATCTAAAAGCAAATGGGTTATGGGGCAACTTCAACTCTAATTTCTTTGTCTTCATAACTTCCAAATTGAAATTGTATGGACATTTGAGACATCAACGAACTTTGAATGGGATGAATTGTATCAAACTTGATATATGTCTATGCATTGAACTTCAAAAGCACTAGTCTAATCCACTTGAATATCTCATTGATGTTGGAAACAGGATATATTCTAACCTGGCAGATGATGGTATTGAATAATCTGCTGTTCCATGAAAGAGAATAATAGGTGGCAGAAGAGAAACAGCATTTCCAATGCTTAGGTCCTGTATCCTAACTTCAGGAGAAAAAAGTTGTAGGGATTCTTCACCTTCCATTATGCTGTAACCACAAGGCAGATAAAAACTCACTCAGGAAAAGGCAACAAACACATACTAATTCTTGACTAAATATTGATCAGCGTCCAGTAACTAATATTCTGAGGGTACCTTAGAAAAAGTGCACGATACAGGCCTCTGTTGTTGAAATGATCAACTAATTTGCATAAATTGTACCTGTTAAGTGTTTCCAGATGATATATGCGAATTATAGACCTTAATACCCATAAACATGCAGATATAAATTTTTTTTAAAAAAATAGAAGATGCTGAAAAAACAAAATTGTAAATGTCAAATAAAAAATCCTCTGTATATCATCAAACCTGCAAATGATTTGTAAGTAACTTGTACCAAACCAGATGATGTTTTCTCTAAAACATTCCACTTTATTTTCCATGTTATTTTGACTAACAGTACGTAAAACAAGATCCCAAAGTTCAAAAAGAAAAACGAAAACAAGATAATAACACAGCAGAGAACAAAGTACTGCAAAGGAAATTTGTAGATTGATATCCTTATGCTGGTTTATGTGCCATTGTTGTCCAGAGCAGCATGGAGATGCTTAGTAACTATTGGAACTGGCAGAGCTAATGACTATGCCCATTATTACCATGAGAACCTTGAAATATCTACATAGCCAACGAAGTTAAAAATCAATTGATAGGGGTGCGAAGGTGTTTACTGATTCCCACAAAGTATTCCTCTTCTTTTCAATTAATCCTCAACATCTCATTATAAGCAAAACAAACCAGTAGATAGTAATTTGGCTAGGGGAATCTTCTGAAAGTAAAAGAAAATACATTGGGGACTCTTTACTCTTTCTCAATAAATCATTCCGCTCATAAATGGTAAATGATGCTTTCCTCAATTTTAGTAAACTTCCACAAGATTAATGAATAGCAACAGATGAAACCATACCCTCCAGATAAACCAAAATACACTTTTATCTGAGAGACACTCCAGGAGATACCCTCCTCTCCCTTAGCTTCTCTGATTGCTTGCTCCAAGAGGGTACAAGCAGAAATGTGGGCACCAGCTGATTGCCCCATTAGATAGATCCTACTCAATAATAAGCAAAGATGAAATCAAGGAAATAGTTTTCAGATAAGAAGGAACATGGAAGAACACAAGAAACTATTCTATCACCTGTTCGGATCACCTCCATATTCAGCAATGTTGTTGCAAATAAATGAGATCCCCTGAGAAGCATCTGTTACCATATCACCAATAGTTCCCTGGGGAAAATTTCTGCATAAAAGTGGGAAATAATATGTAAGCAAGAAAATGTAAGTTCAGGACAAGTAATACTGCCAAAATATAAAACGCTCACGTTCATCAAGCTATCATAGATAAATGTGTTGCTTGAAAGTTGAAATGTATTTTCCCTCCCACTATAATGAATTTCTGTGAACAAAAAAATATGAACTACAATATGGTTCAGCTAATATTGAAACCACATGCCTGTAATCAATACATGCCACTATGATGTCTCTTTCTGCCAACTGTTGCCCAAGAAGACATCCCCATGCTTTATACCTAGATCAGCATGAACAAACAGCAATTTAATGTACGAAAAAATAAATGACCTCAAATCAGGCAAGAAAATATATGACCATGTCATATTATTTGGGTTAAGTCCTGCTAGCATGCTGCTGTTTTGTATCAGCTAGCTCTCCTCAAAATGGTAAAATGATTCATATATGGTACTTACAAATTGAGCCTTGGGCAGCTTACAAACAAATAAAGTAAAATCACCACAAAATCCATAATGAACAATGAAGAAATTCAAAATATGCAAATTTATCATGAACTCTAAAGGAAAGTCAAGCAGCTACTACAGATGACTTACCCAATAATCCAGGCACCACCTGTGACAAATGCCACAACTGGCTTTGGTCCATCTAAATTTTTTGGTAAATACAGATCCAACCTGTAAAATCCCATTACATTGGCAAAATATAGCTTTGAGTCTGTGATATGTGACATGCACAAGTTTACAGAAGGTGAAAAAAAGATAAATCAGATTCAAGTACCTATTTCTGGGTTGATCACCATAAACAATACTTCTTCGAACCTGGCTTGAGAAGAAATAATAATATGCAACTGCAGAAATCAGAAAGCAAGTCATTTTTTCATCAATATAATGATTTCACTGAATCTTGATAGTAAAAAATTTCCTGAAACTTCTTGAAAAATACAATATTTAAGATTTTCCCTGCAATCGAATGCATGATCTCCAACTTATAATTAGAAATACACTGTTGGACATATTATTGAAAGAAATGTAAAGGTTATTTGGGAGAGGTGCTCGAACTACAGAAATTAATCTTTGAACGCATCAACTGGGGAAAAGAAAGAGAAAAAAAAAAAGAAAAAGAAAACAGAGAACAATGCATGAAGTGTGCTCAATCCATACAATTGAACCAAGATATTTACAACTGGTAGTTTAATAATAGGGTTTCCAAGTGAAAAAAAGTAGAAAATAGGGCTAGATATGAAAAGCTGGCAGGTGCCAGTAACTGCCCATGAAACTGAGCTGGTTTAACTGATCAAAATTAAAACAACAGAAAACTGATTCTTTTTTCATAAAGACTTCTCGGTTCTCCAAATTCCCTTACATTACATATAGGGTGATCAATTCCCAATGCTTGAAAGAAAAAAAAAAAAAAGAAAAAACGCTGATTCACTACCGCAAGCTCGTAATCATTAACTAATACTCTTGCAACACAAATACCCACCTTGAAGAAAGCCAGGCATAAGTAGAGCAGCATAAAAACCAAGAGCAGCTAATCTCGTGATCCACCGATAGCCTACCCTGAATGAAAATAAATGATTAAAACATGACATAATGCAAATAAAAAGAAACAGCTAAAAAAGAAAATTCTTCTTTCTCCACCATCTCCTTAAAATACTAACAATTTTAACCAAAGCAACCATGATCAAGATCCAACACATGAGACAACAAAAATCTGTCCAAGCATGGTAAACAGATGGCGGCAGAAAGGTTAACGAGAAACAAGAAAATCATCGAATTTCCATGCCCTAGTTTTTCAAAATTTCATGTTGAACCTTTAAAGAAAATAGTTGTCTCACTAAATACAAACTCATGCTAGCTATGCACAGGAGCAGCTAGAAAGAAATCAGCACCCATTTACACATCACCATCAGCTAAATCAGCAGCTAAATAACAACAAGGCAGGACCACCAGACCAATATTGCTGCACCATTTATAACTTATAACACAAGTAATTAGAGCTCTCAAATTTCATACCATAAATTACCATAAAAATATCATATCATAAATGCTTAAGAACATACAAGTTATCTTGAAGCAGAATTTAATTATCAAAATGCTGCACTGTTTAAATTAAAGGAAAACAATACAAAAAAAAAAAAAAATCATTTCTTTCTTTTAGTTATGTTTTAAAGGAACATCAGAAAACAATAAAATTTATCGTTTCCTTTCCTTTCTATTCAGTGATCTTTCCCTTAATTATATCATCAAACAGTAAAAAAAAAAAAATCACTAAAAACTTCTTCTTTTTTTCTATAATAGATTGAAAAACTTCAATGAAAATAATCTAATTTACATAAATTAATCCAAATACATACCCACGTATTAATATACAATCACAAATACGCGTTGGATATATACAAGCAATATACTCCTATTACTAATACTACATAACATTCAAGCACACGATATTTTACCCGAGAAATCGGAGCAGAGTGATGGTAAGCCGAGTGAGCAAGAAAGTCTCGGCGGCTGCGTGACCGATATCTCGACTAAACGACTGCTGCCTCTCCGGCCTAGCCGGCTTTCCAGAAACTCGTCGCCGCGGCATTTGTTTAGAACTACCGCCACTACTCGAATCCCGAGAAAGCAGCGGCTTCGCGTCCGTTAGATCGTTATCACCACTCATTTCTGTTTCCGTACCAAATGAACGGTTGCGATTCGGCGAATGAGCTGCCGGCGGTGATGACGCCATCGTGGCCGTTGGATTTGGATTCGGATTTGAGATTGCTTTATTAAAGAGCGTGCCTGCGTGTGTTAAGCGAAACGAAAGTTTTTGTGTGCGACTGCTTTCTGGTTTGATTTCTTTGGTCGGTTGGGATGATGATGATGTTCTTCGTGTTAGTGGAGGGACAACGGTTGAATTTGAAGCGGTGCGAAAAAGAAATGAGTAAAAATGGACTGACCTCATTTATTTAAAGAGAAAATAATAGGGGCGTCAATGCATATGAACTGACGCTAAAATAATCCTAATATTTTCTCCGTCATTTTTTTTTACAATTAATTATTTCATTAATCATCAGTATCAGGAAGTGAGTATTAAAATATGTAGTATAACATAATATAGGAATCCGATCCTGGCGTGCTGTGCCGAATTAGCCGCAACTCTGTAATAGCCCTTCGCAAAGACAGCGACCTTGTCGACTCCATTTTGGAACATACTGGACTCTGCAGAGGACTTTAGGTGGGTTCCGCTGCCATGTGGCTTCACAGTTTGCAATTAGGGACCACCACCACTAGGATTCCGTCTGCACTGGCCACCTCTGTCCTGCTTATTTCTCGACAAATATATTCCCCATTTAATAGCCCACGCTTTCATATATTCCACATGCAAGAAGAGGTTTTGTTCGGTTATTCGATTCGTTTTCAAAATATTTAGAATGATTTTTTATTAATTGAATTCTAAAAAAATAATTAAAATCAAATTAAAATGTCATTCGATTTTTCGATTTCAAAATATTTTAATTTTTATTCGTTTTATTTTATTTTTTTTCTACAAATGATTGATTCTATTAAATTTTCTGAAAGAGTGATTTTCTTTTTGCGTTGTGAATTACTACTAAGGAAACTAAGTTGCATTAAAAAAAAAAAACAAATGCATTAGTAGATAAATGCATAATAAATTACCTACTCAAGAAAGTATGAATTTGAGACAATAGAAAATTTATCGACATTTTTGCTAATTTATGTACATCCATACTTGTATAAGAGACAAAAAGAGCATGTACAAAGCTATGAAAGGAAGTGCATGTACTAAATGATCTAACTTTAAAAAAAAAATTAAACGAGATACATATATATATACTCAAATACACACATATATATTTCGGTTTTTTGGTTAACTAAAGCTTTTTCTAAAAATAACCAAAAACGAACTCAAAAACCAAAATTATTTCATTTTAGTTTTTTATTTTAATTTAAAAAAATCGTATCGAAATTGATATTTTGATGTAGTTTGGTTCGTATTCGATTTTCATCAAATAGTGAACATCCCTACTAAAGATAAATAATTTTTTTATTAAAAAAAGAAAAAGAAACAGATTGCTTTAACTACGGCAAGTATTTAGGGTCTGCTAATTTCACGTTTTTAGTCTAATATAAATAAAATAAAAGTAATGTTGAAGATGAAAATCACCTTCTTCGGTTTCGTGATGTATGTGCCCTTCCTCTATGGATTCATAATTAATAAAGTTTGGTATCCAATTTTCCGTATGTCAAATTGGCATCGAAAGCGTTTGGTCAATGTGAGAATTATGAAGCAACACCACGCGAATCGATGCATGTGTTTTACTCACAGGAAGATAGAAGAAATCTTGCAGCAGAAGGTGCTTTTTGCCATGTCTGAAAATGACTTATTGCTTACGACAATCGTGCAAGCAAACTCTAATTCTTCTTTTTGAAAGACCAAATCGTGCATCCAGGCAAGCTATGGACAGGATTGCCTCGTTTCTCGTCTCTCCTAGAAAGGCCTGGAGAACTTCGCTTTGAGCAAGTATGTATCTTGTGCTAGCAAGGCTCGTCCAGTACGTTATCTAATAGATTAGGCTGTGTTTGTCTGGAAGAAAAATTTATTTTTTTTATTTTTCGATATTTATTTTATATTTAGGAAAAAATAAATAAAAAATAGTAGAATATTTTTGAAAAAGTGTTTTTTAAGTTAAAAAAGATGAAAACATTTTTTTTCTTTTATGAGATGTCTCGCTCTCATGTCACTCACTTCTCTCTCAATGTATTTTAACAATTTTTTCCTCTTCTCATTTTTATTTAAAATATATTAAATTAATTTTTAATTAATTTTTATCAATTATTATTAATTATTTAATTATTTTTTCTCTATTTTTACTAACATTTGATTTTTCAATTTATAAATACATTAAATATTCTTAAAAACCATTTTTACGCCTTAAAATTATTTTTATAATAAATATTTCAATAATTTATTTCTTTTTTTATCATTATCTTCCACCACCTAAACTATACTTAAATGATTGAAAATGATTATTACAAAACCGTAATCATTTATGAAAAATTTAAAACTAATTAATTCGTTAATAAATATATTATTTTTTCAATACTATTCATTTGTAACTAAATCAATTATTTGTGACTAATTTTAATCAGTTGTAAAATTTTATTGGTAGTTATAGTCAATAATTAGTTACAAATTATTCCAACATTAATCTTTTAAAACCAAATGAATAATTATCTACAAATAATAACTAATAATTTGTAAAACTATTTTTTAGACTAAATTATCAGTTCAATTTCTTTTAAAAAAAAAAAATTCTTAATTGAGTTATCAAAATAACAATGTTAGAATTACTTAGAAATTTGTTTTTACTAAATATGAATATTGACTTGATTTTGTCCTAACTAGTTTTGAAGAATTAGTTTTATGGTTAAAAATATAGATTTTATTTTTTTTTATTTTTTGAATTTAAATCTTAGAGTCAATATTTATATATAGAAAAAAAACTTAAATTTTTCTAAATGCACCTTATATTATGAAATTATGAATATATCTTATTGAAATTTCTTCAAAACTCGTTGATATAACAATCATAATATATTTTTATATTTCAATTTTTTGTATCATATAAATGCTATAATATGTTTTTCAGTAGTTTTTTTCATATAATTGTCAAACGTTAGAAAATAGTTTTTTAGAAAATAACTTATTTAGAATTACTTTTCCTATTAAAAGTTATTTTTCGTCAAACAAACGGAGCATTAATTTGTTAACAAGGAATGTGATTTTTGTTTTTCGTTTGAACAATTAGCTGCCTGAAAAGGACAGGAAATTTGACAATTTTAATTCAATCATGTGTCAACATTAGAGTTCAAATTTGTTTAGATTGTTTCAAGTCGTAAGATTGATGGGACACACAAATATGATACAATATGTTTGCTAAAGCTTTTCTTAAACTTTTCGCCAAGCTAGTCAGATATATTTAATTTTATAAAGTATTAAGAATTCGTCGCATGATTAAAAAAAATTACTTAAGATAATTTGTCAAATGGATGTAGTTTTGATATGCAAAAACAGATTCGAATATACCTCGATAATAAAATCTGAAAAAAACGCTTATTAAGGAATTAATCCTTTGTATCATAAAACTAATTCATTCTTAATTTCTATCTCAGTATTTAATTCTTGGTCAAAGAAAATATTGAAGCCACCGGTTGAAAGTGGTAAACTTGAATAGGTTATGGAAGATGTACCTACGAATCCCCAAATAAATGAAAATGAATCCCCTAACGTTGAATTTGTCGTGAATAGAGGCCTCGATTAATGGTAATGGGCTGCGTGGAAGGATTAGAGCGAGTCACGTTCCTATCCAAAAAATGATCCTCCGTATGATCTTACGTAGATTGGTTATTTAATTATGAAGCAAGCAATCATACCAGATTCCTTGATCTAATCTGCTATCATGTGTAGTTAATTGATGCATTATTGATCTAATTTACTTAATATATATATATATATATATATATATAGACTTGTTTGACTGAAGCAAGTGGTTTCTCTATCTGATTCTGGTATTTTATCCAAATCCCGAAGACAACTCGGCTATGTAGCCCAACATGCTACAGAAAACAAGAGGAAGGGCACATGGTGCCATTTGCCCAATACTGGCATCATCTTCGTAAAGGTTTTTATTTGGGTTGCCTTGGGAATCAGGTCCAAGAATCTTATCGATTATCATTTTGGAATCAGATTCTAAACTGTTATCTTCTATCTTCGTATACTTCTGTCAAGCAAGTTTGATTCCCAAGCTAAATGTCTCAAGCCCCACACTCCAATAGTAAAACAAAACTTGTATCCACATATCCCACTTTTTTAATTTTCGGTTAATTTTGAAGATTTTATATACAAGGCAATTAGGAGAGAAACAATTGAAAAGAAGCAGGACTTCCATTAGCTTTCCAACATCAATCCTTATATTTTGACAAAACTGAGGTGAGACCTTCGACTATTAAATAGCTGACAAAACTCATGGCAGGCTGGACATTGAATTATTGTTAGAATTGCAAATTAGCTAGGTATTCCATTCGACAACATTATCATTCGTATTAGAGTTTGGAAGAAAGATATGAGAGAGAAAAAACTGAAAACTCCCTCCATTGCCCAGCTATGTAATAGCATAGGACCACTTTAAAACTCTCTACAAACTTTGAAATTCATAGGTAGACATAGTCAAACTAAAAAGGATTATTAGAGTGAAATGTAACTAAAACTACAGTAACTCAAGCATATACAATTTTCTCATTTGAATATCATCTGGCCGTTCAGAAGTCGCCATGTCATCAATTATATCCAATCACCACATGCAAAGAGTCCAGGAACTACGCATAATTTATATCACTTAAGGCCAATTGAAATTCAAAAACATTCTCCTTTCTTTCCATACTTCATAAAATAGAGCAAAATCTAACGTATTAAAATGGATTACCCCGGCAGGAGAGGGAATGGGGAAAGGGCAATTCGAGATTAATAGTCAGGGTTTATCCATCCAGGACCAAACCTGGCTCGTCGGCATTACATCTAGCGTTGGTTTTTACTTCCCAATAATGGAACTAACATCTCAGAAAAGTCTTTCTTCGTTTCTCTCCATTGTTATCTATAGACATTTACCTAAACCACCATCTTTGAACTGCAGAAAGTGGAGTGTTCAAGAATGGGCAGTAACGATGCACTAGTGGATTGATGGTCCTTCCAATCTTAGTCCACACGCTATGATGGTAAGCAGCAGTCACAGGGGCATGATACATGAGCTTCAATAGCTGTCAGAAAAAGGTCAAAAACAAGAAAGAAAGGCTTAGTTAGGCCATGTTCCTAAAATATTTTAAGATCACTGGATGAGGTTCTGTAATGAAATAATGTACCATAAGGGAAAACTCAGATTACTTTCTTAGCTGTGAGTAAGCACATCTCATCCACCAAACACAATAGAGCAAATTTCAGTGTCACGTGAAAATCAAAGAACACTATTAATGCCACCACTTTCTAACAACCACCATTAATGTACTTACCAGCAGAACCTAAAAACAGTAGCACTTTCGTCTTTTGATCAGCTCAAGACAACAGACTTGTACCATCGAATTCTCATAGTTTGCTTCAAGCATTTTAGTTTTAGAGGACCAATGGTTTTCATGCTGGCTCCAAATTCTTTGGTGGACTTGCTCAATTTCATAAGTTTACACCTTCACAATCCCATTAATTAAATAGGAGGAACACATTTGCCTAAGTATATGCATCAATATTCTCTTATCTTCTTCTTGCCTTCATTTCTTAAACTGCACCACTATAAGGTGCTTATATTTGAACTCCACTTTTGAAAAGATTAATTTTAGATAAATGGTTGTCCTTATATAATAGCCAAATTCTACAATCTGTTCCTCTGTTTCTAATTACATAATAGATGTCCCCGAATAATGTTTTAAGTCTCCAATTTGTCTTTCCGATCAATTTTTCCAACTATAGATAATTTTTTGACCAAACTGCCCTGCTTGAAACGCAAAATAAATAAATAAATCTAAAGTCTTCAAAAAAGAACAATGAAGGTCACGTGAGTAGGGTGGTTTTTTTTTTTTTTTTTTCAGTCAGAGCATTCTGATCAAAAGATTTATCCGTGATCGGAAGGACATATTGGAGACTAAAACAATATTCAAGGACTTAATAGATGCAATTAGAAACGTAAGGGCAGATTAGAGACTCATTGTATCAAAACTCTGATTCAGTTCAAATGCACGAGATCTGATTGTTTCTCAACTTCCCTAACAGGAATGTGAGCCAACATGCACATCTGCACTCCCCCCCAACACACACACACACACACAAAACCAAGCAGTCTCACCCTAAAAAAAAGGAAATTTGTGTACATTTTCAATAATGAAATTCTGACAGCATAATTTTGTATGATCAGAATGTAATTTACCTGCCAGTACATGAATGTTTGTATTATGTTGCGTTGCCACCTGGATACATCAAACCATGGCTGGCTATTATTCCAAAAGGGAAAAGGGTAAAATAAAAAGGAAAGAAACAGGTTTGACAACTTACGAGAACAAGGAGACAACTAAGAGGAAGCCAAGTCCAATTTCGGCATGAGAAGATAGGATGCTGAGGGTAGTTGTGTTGGACTCCACCCATACACAAGGGTCTTCAAGGTACTTCCTGTGGAACCAAACACAAGCTTTTAAGAAAAAGCAAAAAAAAAAAAAGGGATGAATTACAAGATAGATGCCACAACTTCACGAGTTAAGTAAACAAACTAAAAATGAAACAACAGTAACAATAAATCAACTCCAGCCGAATACTAATCATTTGAAGGTCCATGACCACTTGACCAGTATAAAGAACAACTGAAAGAACTTGTGGCTTGTCAAATTGCTGAAACTAAATTCAGTGCATTCAATTAAGTGAAAACTCAAATCTCTTCTACCTACCTGTACAAGGTGGAACGGTTGAAATTACGCCTTAAGAATTTGGCAACATGCTCCAGTGATCGGCACAAAATGGGAATTAAGGCAACTGCAAAAAAGGTCAACATCAATACTCCACATAAACATTGAAACCACAGAAACAGGCCAATTAACAGAAACTCAGAATCAGAAAATTAGGAGCCAATTAATGCTCACATTTGAGGCAAAGATTGGAGGTGACAAATGTAAGGCAGTAGATAAAGTAGATAAAATCTTTGGTCGCAATTATTGACTGCAAGTAAACTTGAATATCCTGCAAGTTCCATGCTCTGGGTCTCTACAAAAAAAACAAACCTAGTTAGTGAAGCATACCAGCATACTGTAATAACAGGAGGATAAGACTGAAAGTATGAATGATAGGATAGAAAGGGAAAAAAAGAAGCTGAAAAGCATGTGTTTTAGATTACCCCATATAGCGTGTATAAGGAATACAGAGATGAGCATGCAGTGCCCATAAATGACAGCCGATATGCCCTAATTGAAAGATTTTTAGGTACAAGGGGAATGATTGCAAGCACAGCCACAACAAAAACCTGCAGGGAAAGACAGAAGCATATTAAGATAATATATACAGAATTGATAGTAAAATTAGGGAAGATAGCCCAAATTACAACGAAGTGCATCCAAGATGTTGGTTTCCAATCATCAAAACCTGTAGGTAAAAATGTGTAGTTCTCTACCACCAGTTAACAGGTAGTTTAAATAAGAAATTCAAAACCTATTCTCAGAAAAAGGTAAAAAAAAGCAACAGGTTTAAAGAAGAACATATTACTCCCAACCCTTTTCTGCATGGTATACAAGAACCAGAACCCCCTTCAGTTCTCTTATCTCATTCTTATTTTCTGCATCTTATATATATAAAATAATAATAATGATAATAAAAGAAGAAGAAGAGGAAGAGGAAGAAAAAAAACCTAAAAAATCTTACTGCACCTGATTCAGGATGTCACTGTTTCAGTGAAAGTAAATGACTCAAAATAGAAAAGAAAAATGACTAACACATTATTCCACAAAGTTTCACAGGTAACAAGGCTCAGAAAGAGCGAAGAGTAAAATCAAAACATCCCCAAATTTTGCTGGAAATTTAATTAGGACAGAGACATCGAAGTCAAGAGTGTTTCTAATTATGTCCAATACGATTATAAAAGATTTTATTAAACTAAATTGGGTTTCTTTAATTTTACAAGGCAAGGGAACTGTTTCCAGGTATGAGATGAATGTGTGTGTGTAATTTTATTTCAAAATCAGTAATAGTTACACAAAGTTTCCCTGTAATGTTTTAATTCAAAATCAATAATAGTTACACAAAGTTTTATAAAAATCATGGCTCTAACCTAAGAGCAGAGCTGAGAGGACCATAATTGCAATGGCTAAGGGTTGGAGATGGAGAACTAGGAATTTTCTATTCTTTTCTTTATTCTCACAGGAAACCAAATCAGTCTAATTTTTTATTCCATCAACCTCGAAATGATAGAGTCAAAAGCTTAGGAGGTGGGAAGAGGCAAAAGGAAGTGGGTGGGGCAAGAGGTAGCTAATTTACAATAAGGAGCTCTTATAGTCAGAACTGGCTTTTGACCAATCTGAAACAAGTGAAATTTAAAATTACATCAGATGAAAGCTGCTTTGTTATAATGAGCATCTAACCAAAACTGAGGTCCCATCTGATCAAAACTAGCATAATTCAAGGAGTTCCAAGTAACTATCTAAACAAGAACAAAACAAATGGAAACAAAATTGGGATTACATCTAAATTCTATTTGAACTTAGGAATTCAAAGAGGAGATGGATTTGGATATTGGTAAAGTCTAAAAAAGTAAAAGAAGAACAGGTTATTCAGTTGAATATGTTGACCATCTAGTTTTACACTGTTAACAGGCTAGAAAATTTCAGAAGGTTGTGTATGGAGCTGTGAGCTTTACTTGGGTAGTGCAGGTTCAAAAATAGTGGTGCTGATTGCCCGGAGTTGGTGTATAATTTGTACAGGAAAACTAATATTTTGGTTTGTTTCTCACAGTAAATTTTTTTTTTTTTTTTGAACTAGCTGAAGGAGAGAAATGAGACAGCATTTCAAGAAGAATAATCCTCTCTCACCTCTAAGGATTTCTATATAATGGATATGCCGGATAATCTCTGGCCAATAAAGAGGATTTTCTAAACTTTGCTGATCATTTGTTCTATATGTAGTGAACAAAGTATAGAATATAGATGAAGTTTTGTAAATTTCCTTCTATTCCTTGTGAATGAAGACAGCAAGCCGTAAAGTGTGAAAAAAAATGAGGGAAAAGAATACCCACCCAAGCATTGACAGAAAATTGTATGGTTTGTCGATCCCAGCGGACAGAGGTTGGATTTTGACCTGCAGTTGCTGATGGTCCAGAGGTTCTACTAGTTGACCCTACAGCATAACATTTTTGGCCCAATAATACAATCATATACAAAAGAAGCAAAATCACAGACCAGTAACAAGAAATGGAACTTGACTTTATATATATAAAAACAATGAGATTTGTGCTATTCTCTTAATTTCAATCAATTAGATCACTTGAGCAGAGTTCAAACCTGTATTGCGTGGTCGAGGCTGGTCATTTGAAGGGGGTGGTGATGAGGAGGATGATGCAGATGGCTTAGTTGACTGAGATGAACCATTTGTAGACATAGCCTCCACCACTAGGTCAGGATCCTGCCAATTAAACACGTACAACGATTATCAACTACAGCATATACATATGCAGAACCTCTGAAATATTACCCTGAAATGCTCTGCGAAAGACTATGTAGCAAAGGCACAAATGAAAACAGGAGAAAGAGTAAATTATAAACACATTATCATTTGGCATGTGTATGCAAGCAGTTAGTAATACAGATATACCACAAAAATTTAAAAGAAACATTGCGAATGTCATCAAATGACACAGCAATACTCTATCCATCGTACCACAAAATCCCATTCGTAAAAACATGTGAATTATTCAATTAAACCCACACATCCTAAAATTTTCAAGAATTCAAAACCAAAAATCCGAACAGTGCCAATCTTAATCACACAAAAGATACCAAACCCACTAATAATTTCAACCAGAATTCAAACTTCGATATTTTGGTTAATACACATAATCAAGAAACTGGTACCATAAATAACGGAGCCAAATGAGTATATTAAAAAAAGGAAAAGAAAACCTGTGATTCATTCACAATACTGAATGCATGCAAAATTAATCAGAATATAGTGCAAGAAGATAAGTAAACAAGATTCCAAATCTAAAACCAAACAAGACCCATTTGAAATACACAATAACAAATCCCAGAAACCCAAGAATCCTGAAGCAAAACCAATAAAGGTGAGAAAGAAATGGAGGGGTGTACGGACGATGTAACGTTGGTAGAACTTGCGCTTGAAGTGATCGATAACATCAGCGGAAGAAGACAAGTGAGGAGGGATGAGGATGTTGGACCAGTAATCAGCCCATCTTGGATCGTTCTCGTAATCATAAGCAGCCGCCGCTATTCTCTTGAGCTTCTGTGGATTCTCTCTTTCTTCTCCCATTGAAGCTGGAGCTGTTTTTTTCTCGTAGTATCTAATCCCTCTATAGAAGAAGAAGACTTAAAGTTGTGCTGTTGAATGGGAGGTGGAGTTTCTACAGTCTACAGAAATGTTACAATGGGCCACGGACTACGGTTGGAGTAGTGTAGTGAGACTTTTTTTTAAAAAAAATATATATATATATATATATATATATATATATTCTACAAATGAGTGATATTTTATGATCCTTTTTTTTTTTTAACATTAAAATTACTTGTATTGATGCTGAATGATAAGAGTTTTATTATCGAAATTACATCAATATATTTAGTGACTGTAATATCAATAAATATATTGATATAAATTTATTACCATATCCCACGTTAACATTAATGTAGAGTCATATGTGTGTGGCATGCGGTCTAATTATTTATACGGTCAACCCAAAAATGGATTCATTTATGTCAAGTTAGAAAATTCATAAAAATCTTACTTTGTATTCCGATCGTGAAATTTACATTTTAGATAATCTAGTTTTTTTCTTAAAAAAATAATTATATAAAAGACAAAAATATATAAAAATCTTACTTTGTATTCCGATCGTGAAATTTAAATTTTAGATAATCTAGTTTTTTTCTTAAAAAAATAATTATACGAAAGAAAAAAATATATAATAAAATACAGTATTTTGAGATTTTATGTTTATATATTCAATTCTCAATAGAAAAAAAAATGATATTTGTATAAGTTTGGAGTCTATTTGAATAAAAGTTATTATCTTGTTAGTCCCTCCGGATAGTAAAATAGGAATTTTATTTCTCTTACAATCAAATTTGCTTCTTAAGATTTTATTTTTTAAAAAAAGTGCGACTTCATGATTCGAATTTGTTTTGATGATACAAAATTATTAGTTCCAAGTTTATAACCTTAAGTGGCATTAAAATAAAAACCGAACGAGAGAAGATATTAACGAGTATATATTATACTATATAGCTAGGAGAAAGATACTTGGAAGAATTAACGGAAAATTTTATTTTGCTGAGCTTTTTGAAAGATGTCTTAATACACCGGATTCGAAACATATATATAAAGGCATGATCTGCTAAGATTAAATCCCTAAAAAATCTCTAACTACTTGCTAAAAATCCTATCTAACTCCGAGTAATGCTAGTTCATAGACCGACTAAGTCTTCCTACAAAATAGCATATGATTTATTGACCTAGTAATCATAAAATAAAATAAAACAGAAACAATAAATAATTAAAGAAACAACTACATGTAAGATGCACTAATTTTAACGAGTTTTTCTAAAACTTTTTTACTAATTAATCTAATAGTAACCATCTCATAGGCACGAAGGTGATCGATTTTGTAAGTACTTTCGGTGCTTGGAATATTTCTTTCTAGGAGTGCTTGGTTTCTAGATCCGTACGTTATCAATCACATTGTAGCTATACTCATCTTTTATAATGTCGAAGTCAAAGATCATCGCTATCGGGCCAAACGAACCGTTGATTCCGTGAGGTCTATCTTTTCGTATAAAACAGCTTATTCTTGGCATGAATGGTTGGGGTTGGATATAGAAGATGAATGTGGCTAAAAAAACATAAGATTTTTATCTCGTCGGCGACTGGAACAAGCTTCTAACCAATGAGGTTCGGTTTGACAGGAGTTTTGGCTTCTTCTTCTTGTTTTTGTTTTTCCTGTTTGGTCCGGATGTTGTGATGGTATTGAACATGTTTTTCATATGCTGAGGGATTGCTTGAAAGGCTCCTCTATTTGGACATAATTCATTCCTAAAGACAAATGCCATATTTTCTTCAATCGGGACTTATGTTCTAGGATCCACTTGAATGTCATGCAAGCCGATATGTTGGTTGTTCGTATCTATATGTTGGATCTTATGAAAACGAAGTGATTGAAGGCGAGAATCTCACTTTTGCCTCCCAAGTTCGACAAATTGATTTTATATTGGAGGATCATAAGAAGGTCGTTTTTGGATAGAGTATTTCTATATCCTCTCTCTCTAGGTCGCCCAGACTTTTCCATTGGACGACTCCTCTCCAAGGACGGATAAAGAGGGGCTATTGATGACGACTCTCTTGGCAATCCGATGTGACTCTCATTTTTTACGTAAGGATAGCAATGGGTCGGGTACTCGGCCCATTAAGTCAATATCTTACTCTACTCGGCAAAAAATATTATACTCATTATCTTATTCATTATTCACTAAAAATCATTTATCCATTTTTTTACCATGCTCATATTCATTGTATCATACCTTACTCATATCATATCCATATCCATTTACTCGCTAACTTTTTTCTTTAAATTAAAGATTTTTTTTTTCAAATTTTTTTTATTGAATTTTTTTAATTGAAATGATGAAGTTACTTAATATGAAGTAGTTGTTAAAGTTAATTAAGATTTACGGGTTTGACTATCTTACAAACCATTATTTAATTTATTTTTTATACAAAGTTTTTTGTCTTAATTGAGAAAGATAAAAAAAAACTTCCAGTGGTTTTTTCTAGGCCATTGACTCTTATTTTCCTTATGAATTCACAAGGGCACCACAACAATTAAACTTGAAATTTGCTCTAAGACATTCTGTAGAACCAAAATAAATCTAAAAGCTTTTACATGTGGGAGAAAAAAGTACGATAGCACACTTGACATTGAAAAATGAAGCAAAACAACAAACTCTTTGACTTTTTTGGTATATTTCATGACCACGAATCATTTGTAAGGAAATAAATCAGGTAATACCATCACTTTATTTATTTATTTATTATTATTATTATTTATGTATAATTAATTAAGTAATCGAAGATATTGACAACCAGGTGTAGATAATATTAAAAAATCTTAAATACGAGAGTAATATTACCGTGATAATAATGTTCAAAATCTGATAATTGAGTTATGAATAAATATTATCCACGATAATGTTTAAATTGACTTGACTAATAAGGAAAAAAAAAGGCTATTAATCCATGTTAAGAGTAATATTAATAAGGAGATTTGTGAAGAATAATTCACAAATTATAATAATAATGATAATAAAATAGAGAGATTCACTAGTCAAATTTGCGTGTGTGATTGTTTGGATAAATGTTAAACTGAATGATAAATAATAATAATAATAATAATATCAATAAACCGTAGTTAATTACATAAATGCTTAAAAATACTATTTGTTTTTTAATATATAAATAATAATAATAATATCAACGAAATCATTACATGATTAATTGTATTTTTTTAATTTTGTGTCTTAATGCTTTTTTATGTTAACGAATAAAAAATAAATATCAATTAATTAAAAAAAATTCATATTCATGAATAAATTATCTATTAATATCTTGGAAGCTGTTTCTGCTTCGGAATGTTACAGCTGACTAGATTGTTGGTGTTGATTTTTCCAAAGTTGATTGTTTCCTGTCTGTCAACTTCTGTGACTGCCACGATGGAAAGTGAATTTCCGGGGTGAGAAGAAGGCCACGTTAAGTAGTATTAGTTTTTCCGAAATTCATCTTTCAATTGCAGTCTCTTGCATGATTTGTAAGCTAATTAACATGGAACTTCAATTAGTTGCAGAAAATATGTCTATATATATAGACAACGCTGGACTACTGTTTCATTGATTGCAAGACATGTGAGGGGCTGGAAGCAACAATCTGGCAAGCTTTGAATTACTAAGATTGCTGTGTATTTCTTCTGATATGATTCCACTTCTTCCTCCTGACAATAGACCTTGTATATTCAATTCATTTTCGAGCTGAATGGCTTCATCCAAGCTATGTACTACTTTTTCGTAACAAAGATATCGTCCATGAGCTCCAGTATCCATAGCTTCATAAACATGGACATGTGCTTCTGCCACCTTCCTTACATCTGCTATAGCCAGGAGACCTCGTCGTAGCATGTCCGAACCACCTATCCGTGATATCTTATACGTTAGTTCAGTAGTCGTGAACAAAATCCAATTAAATATTATCAAATGAAATAGCTATTGTTGTTATGTCTTTTAGATGGTGTAGATGCTCCATACTCCATGATTGTTGCTTAATTATTATGTTCTACATAGAAGTATAAGTGTGATTTTAAGACAAACTTGGAACTTCGATCTTTTCAGAATCTTGGATCCAAACTTAAGCTAAGTGGAATGAAAATGGATTAGATGTTTTTATTACCTTTAAGATATGGAAAAGAAGTTTCTTTGTGAGCACGAGGAAATGAGGAAGATATGAGAAGGCCAGGGCAAACAGTTGCAAGTTTCACTTTCAATTCTTCTGACTTCCTCCAAGCAATCTTTTCTGCTCTCATCTTACCCAATGCAAGCCAAAGCTATTTTCCATATTGAAGAGATTTAGTAATTCACTTTTTAATCAAGTACCATCAATGGTTTAAATGTTCTTACCAAGAGAATTTCTGATATATTGTCTGCAACAATAGCAAGACAGAACTTTAATGCAATGAATTTCAGTACCTTGTTTTCTCTGCAAAATTCCTCACTGCTCCAGCAACTCTCATCAACAACCCTGTCTAAATCGGAAGAGGTCCAGATGGAAGCAAGAAGAGAAGAAGTGAAGACACATCTCCTTATGTATGCTGCCCTACCGCATGCTTCAATAACCTTCCTTGCACTCTCAGTTTCAAGAAATGCCATTTGTTCCTGCAAATTAGTATACAAATTAATAGCATACAGTTGTAAGAAATAATGACCAGCATTTGGTGTTGGAAATTAGTCCAATTTTACAGAATCATTTGGAGCTTCAACCTTTTTTTTTTTTTTGTGCCTTCATAAATCACATCTAAAAACTTTAAATTTCAAGCAAGATTGACATTAAAACTTGTTTCTGCCACTATAATACTACAGTAACTTACTGAATAACCTGAGATCCCCTGTGGATCAATAAAGGAGGAGGTGTGGAAAACTGCATGACAACCTCTAAATGCATCACAAAGACTTCCCAAGTCTTTCATCTTTGCTACTACAACACTCTCTAGTTTATTCATGTCTTCTTTCATCAGTTCTCTCAAGTCCTCAAGATCCACTGCCAATAGAAAAGGAAACAAACACATTTAGTACGTACTAATTAGTGGAAAACTACAAGCCAGGCTGCTGATCCAACCGAATCCTTTTCAGCTGTGACATATAAAGAAGAAAAAAAACCCAAGAAAATGAACTCTTCTACAATCCATTTCTATACAAGCGCAGTTATTTTTACCCCAGAAGGTGTATACTTACTGACCTTGGTTATGAATGGTGACTCGTACAAGGTAGCCACGAGAAAGGAGCTCTTTGACTATATGAGAACCCAAGAATGAGTTCCCATCTGTCACACAAACCAGTTTATTCTCTCTTGCATTAAAGCTAGTGATAAACTTTCTCCCAATACAAGGTTTTCCTCCCTCCCTGCAGAAAGCTGGTAGCGGTGAAGGTTTTGATAACAGCACTCCTTCCATCATTCTGCCCCTCTCTCTCTCTCTCTCTCTATATATATATATATATATATATATATATAGATATAGATATCGCTCTCATGTGCATGGCATTTAAAGCAAGAGGAGGAATGGCAGCTGGCTATAAATGCGTGGAGGTGGTAGATGGGAACATTAGCTAGAAAAGGATAGAAATGCCGGCGCCACGAGGGTGGTAAGTATAGTCTTGAGTCCCAAGTTAGACCCTTATTTCTGTTATTGTATCTACCACGCTACAGATGGCACCATTCAATAGGCCAAAGAAAAGCAGGACTCCGTCAAGCTCCAAGCTCATTCATGAATTATTCTGGAAGAAAATGATCGTGAATGCGTCTGGTTTATGAAGAGCTGAAAATTGGTTTGGTGTTCAAATAAAGACCACGTACACTAGGGGAAGAGCATACCAAGCACTAAATGCAAGCGAACATCACTATCTTCTCTTTACCATATAATATTAGCATTGATTATCAGTTCCCTAAACAGTTAGCCACGACAAAACCGACAGCAGCCTCGTTCCTGGACGGTAGGGGAATCAAAACTTCACACTTTACTCCCTGGAAATTATAATAAATTACCACATATTAGTCCCTTTAGTTTTAAGAAACAAATCAATTAGTCCTTTTTGTTTTAAAATTAATTATTTAATTTCTTTACCAGTATTGACCACTCTTAAGTTAATATTATCTAGTTCAAAAGATGTCATTTTTTCTGATCGATCATTCCATTTTTTTATATATTTTTTTCTATTTCTTAAATCAAAAAAGGATTAAATTACAAGAAAATTAGAATTATAAGGATTAAATACGTAATTTTTAAATGAGAGAGATGAATTAATTCATTTCTCAAAACTAGATAGTACTAATTTATAATTTACTCCTAGAAATGATTACCTAGACTCAGTTCCGTGCCGTATTACATTCTTCATTTAATGCACCAACTAACCGTCAAATCCACTGCACTAAACTATTAAAACTATGCCAGATTTGTAATGACAGTAAGCCCAGCCACAGCATGTAAGCAGATGAGCTCCTGACAAGTTTAGCCAACACTCAATGTTTGAAAAAAATGGTGAATTGACGCTAAAACGTGGACTTGTAGCATAGAAAACATGCATATTATGCTTCCATTGAAAACAGCCATAGTTTGCGTTTGTAGTTCTGGGTTTGCCAAGAAGTTCTAAGAAACCGTTTATATAAGTATGTTTCCAGAGCAAACTGCTAGGAGGTCTCAAACTGTGATTAGAAGTCAGTTCCTGTCAATAGACAAAGAGCAGAGGAACACACGAGGAAAACAGACTGTATGCCTGCATGACTCAGCTGGAGTAGGTGAAAGGGGATTTTCATTACTTTAGTATATATAAATACAAATATGAACTCTATGAATGAATCTAAATCATAAAGAATACAAAATGATGCTGCCATACAGGCGAAATCGTGTTAGGTTGACACGGAAACAATACAAGAAGTAAATGATGAGATTGTACATGAATAGGCAGCAGCAACTCTTGCCAAGATTGAGCAAGATCTCAATCAGGGTTCTCAAAATCTAAGACCGAGTGCTGCTCTCGTTTCAAATCAGCTGTTACCAAATTCCATGTTATAGAGATTGGGAATGTAAGATTAACATAAGTTTCCATATCGCAATGCATTTGAGGATTAAACATAATCCCCATGATCTCTACTCCTCCAGCTACTCTGCGTGCGATCAAAAAATTCTGAACTATAGTCTTGGCTACCAAATGCCAACCTCTGAAACATTCTGATTTGTGCAGAATGTTCTCTTGAATCAAATATTTCACTTTGGCCAGGTTTCATTCCATTAGATAGATCCGATGACTCGTCTAACAAGTTTAAGGCTCTCACCACCTAAAATGGCAAAACCAAACAGTAACACTTTTAATTAGGCTTGCCCAATATGGTGAAGAAATAAGGAAAATGTACAGCACAAATACATGGTTACCTGACTCATTCGTGGCCTTTTTGCACCTGAATGACGCACACAAGCCGCAGCTGCCTCAATCATCCGAAACATTTCACCTGGAACATAGTTCTTCTCCAGCCCTGGATCAGTCAATGCTTCAAAATCTTCATTTTCAATTGCATCGTTAAGCAATGGTCGAGCCTGAAAACAAGTTTGAATTTGGATTATTCCAATAAGAGTTTACTAAGTTGTTAATGTTACAAATGGCACTATTCAATAAGTCAACGTCTCCACGTCTAGTATATGACAAAACCCTGCCAAGCTGCGACAAAGCACCAATGAACACATCCTGTGGACTTGTAGTAGGCTAGCAAGCCAGCATGCATAATTGACTTATACTTTAAGTTGACAAAATTTTGCACTGTTCTAACACTTCTGGATTCTGGAATACCAGATATTCTGCACCCTAAGAAACTTTCTTGTATTTAGGAAGTTTAATTTTTTAAAGCAAGATGAATTTGAAGAACTTTGAAGGCAGATTACAGCGCACAGGCGGTAAAAGCTAACATCAATACTTCGAAATTAGACAGCGCAAAACCACAAACATGACAGAAAAGATAAAATTTTGATCTTGAGCCACTGTTAAAATTTCGAGCTTGTAAAATGCTTTGCTAATTAAGGATGAACTATGACGTTCCTAGAAATTTAAGATAGGAAAATTAGCTCTAGAATAAGAATTGAATGTCCCTAATATTTTACCAACCAAAATAAACCATAAAATATATGTACCTCTCAAACATATAGCATCAACAAGATAATAGGTTAGAATAGTTATGGAACGTACCCATTCAACAAGGCTTTCATCACCCAGTGGCTGAGAGGCATCCACAGGCTTACGGCCAGTAATTAGCTCCAAAAGCACAACCCCAAAGGAATAAACATCAGATTTTTCAGTCAACTTTCCACTAGTTGCATACTCTGGAGCCATGTACCTTCCATTCAAGAGAGTAATAAAAATAAGAATGTTGGGACTGACATTACCTAGACATCAATATCATAAGTTTCTTCTGCAATATACCATTAACAAAACATGTCATTACAAAACTATCATCTAAACTCCATCAAATTTGAAAAGCTTATGACCATCCCTGTTGCTATAAATAAAATCATATAGCTGAAAGAAAATAACACTAGTAACCATTAAAATAAAATTAGCTTCCTTGAACACAAAAGTAAAACACACTAGATTTAATTTTATTTTCTTCCTTTCTAAATCACTTTCCATGATACTAGCTTTACCTGTATAAAGAAGCATCACAGTGGGTGAAAAAAAAAATAATAATAATTGAGGCACCTACCCAAAGGTTCCCATCACACGTGTGGATACATGTGTATTTGAATCCAGTTCCAGTGCTATCTTAGCAAGCCCAAAATCTGAAACCTGGTAGAAAAAATGTGCTTAATAAAAATATTGAATATGAAGAATTTATCATAGAAACATAAGATGTGAAAATCTGTTCCAAGTGCACTGAAATGGAAAATATTAAACAGCCTACAAGTAAAACAATGAAAAGAAGATCATTTACTGGGCAAAGGAAAAAAATATTCCATCAGCATTGGGATGGCATAAATAATTATTAGGATTTACAGAAACAGACATACCCGAGCTTCAAAGTTTTCATCAAGAAGGATGTTAGATGACTTGATATCCCTGTGAATAATGCGTGGATGGCCTGATAAACACCACAAAAGAAATGAGACCAAAATGTCTCAGTATATGTTGCAAAGTTGCAAAGAGAAACAGACGTGAGATAGTAAGGAGAACAGAGCGAAGGAGCAGCACATTTATGTAAGCATAAGTGATATGTAACTTGAGCGATGAGGACACAACATCCTATAATATTTTGTTGTTGAAGCATGGATTTTGTCAACATGTCAATTCTGCATCCTATTCAAATTACTCGATAAGGTTGTTAACATATTATCAGATTGTTCTAGAATGCATCTTGGATTTACACTTGATTAACTAATGGGGAGGAACTTATAATTGGCACTTATATGTAAAAAATTGAAAAAGAAATGCAAAGCTTCCAGTTCCAGGACTCAAATCATTTAGGTCCTCAGTTGTCAATGCAATGTGCTAAAAAAGTGTGGAAGTATAAGTTGTAAAGTCCAAGGAAAAAAAACAAAGGAAAATTACAATCTTCGTGCAGATAAGCTACGTGCTAAAAAAGTGTGGAAGTATAAATTGTAAAGTCCAAGAAAAAAAAAGGGAAATTACAATCTTCATGCAGATAAGCTATGCCGCGAGCTGCACCAGCAGCAACCCTGACCCTTGTTGCCCAATCCATAAATGAGCTGCCTTCACCTGCAAAGGTCTACAAGAATTCAGGAAATAGAAGACATTGGCAATTTTACAAGGAGCTATTTCCAGTGGAGCTTCAAAAAGGAAGCATGGTGCTGTTGCAAGAACAGAAGGAAAAACCAGAAATAATTAAAACGAACCAACTTCTACTAACATTGATTAAATAGGATTAAGAGGAACAAATTAGCAAAAAGCAATAATTGGTAAGAGTCCAAGCCAGCACAAACATCTACAACCAACTTCTTCATATCTTAATTTAAAGGGATAAACCACAGTAAGCATAATAGCCTGTTGTAATCAACACAGCCATAGGTCAAATAACCATTTCTGTAAATCCTATTCACAGTTATTATATTTCGATAGCTGCCTGCATCATAACTCAACAAGCGATTTAGCCAAGATAATAGATATATATATAAAGAAGCTTAAGGCATATGACATATTTTAAAAGATTGCAGAGAAAAGTTCAATATGATTACATAATTTTACGCCAAGAACATATCTCATGATAATTTGGAAGAAATATGTCTAATGACATATGCAAGAAGATAATGCATTCACAGAGGAAAGCATTAATGAATTTCTCATATTAAACTACGAACTTACCGTGCAAATGGTAATAAAGAGTATCATTGGGAAGGTAGTCATAGACAAGCAGTCTTTGATGCTCAGATATACAGTAACCCACCAGTGAAACCAAATGTCTATGATGCACTCTGCTAATAATCTCAACCTCTGCTCTGAATTCACGCTCCCCCTGAGAACCACCAATCTTTAGTTGTTTTACAGCTATTTCTCTTCCATCTACCAGGACGCCTTTGTATACACAACCAAATCCACCTTCGCCCAGAAGATTCTGTGTCGAAAACCCATTTGTGGCTTGGACTAGTTCTTCATATGTGAACCATGACCTTGAATTGTTTACTACACCTGGATCTGATGGTGGATATAGGAAATCACTGCCAGAAGGACTGGCAGCTAGGGGAGCTGGAGGATAAGGTTTTAGAAATAGCGAATCTGTAAAGCAAACCTTTCATTAATTCTGGTCACATCTCAGTAAGCATTTAAATAATCTTGCTGGACAACTTAAAAGCATATCCTCAGTATGAAAAGAAAAACCAATGCTTCAAAACTTTGAAGACAATAATTTGAAAAGAATATTTGACATAGCTGCTCATTTGAAAATAGAAGATAAAAGGAAACTAAATGACATATTATGCTCTACTCCATAAGCTAAATTGTCAAAAAGATAGGGAAACCAGAAAATGAACTGGTACATTGTTCTGGATCAAATAAAGGCTCCAAAATGACAGGCCAATTATTAGAAAAACAAAATAAATAAGCAGAAGAATCCAAAACCACAACAACTAAGGTAACTATGATTCTAGTATAGTGTCTAAAAGGGTGATCAGAAGAAAATTAATTGCGAAGCTAATCCAAAAGGCTCAGATATCCTGCCTCCAGGACTGGTTTTACAGCCCCAGAATAATTTGCATGGGCCATATAAAGTTTACCTGAGTTGTTAAATTGGTAGATGTCAATAGCATTGATCAAAGCATTAGAGACGCTACCAGTCACCAACTCAGCATCCAATACCATTTCATAACTCTAAACAGAGAAAGCCCTGACATATGATTTCTAGAATGCCTTACAAGGAAATTGTCTTAACAGACAAGTATCAACCTTTTACACTGACTGACACGTATCCCACACAAGGCTTTACAACTCCAACAAAAAAAGATTTTACTTCATTCGAATATCCAGATTTTAACCATGACCTATACTCTCATTCATAAAGCAATTACAAACTCTAACAGAAAAATGTTCAATCAATTACCTGAATTTTGCGAGGAGGCAAATGGAGAAGGCATATTGTAACCAATATTTTCTCTTCGTCTTCTCTTTCGCCTTTGTGCAAACCACACAGCCATCACTAGAAGACTGAGTACTACAAACCCAACCACAATGCCTATTGCGACTGCACCTCCAGTGTTTAATCCCCCAGCACCAGTGGATGATGTATTTGCGGAGACATTGGTGTCATTAGTTGTTCTTGCAGTTGGTTTCTCTGTTGGGATAGAAGGAAAGGGTGAGGTAGGACTTCCCGTTGCTGATGAATTAACTGAAGGAGCAGGAGGAGATATTGCAGGAGGTGTTGATGAGAATGAAGGAGCTGATGGAGGGGGTGATGGCAATGTGGATATTGGAGGAGGAGGAGGAGAATTTGTTGCAGGTGGAGGACTATCAGATCGAGAACTAGGTGGCGGAGGAGTAATTGTAGGAGGTGCAGGAGGGGTTTCAGGGGGCTTTGCTGTTGGTGGAGGAGGCGAATTAGTAGCAGGGGATATAGGGACATTTACAGGAGGAGGTGGAGAAGGGGAAACAGCTTGAGGGGGAGGTGGGGATGTTACAGGAGTTGTTGGAGAGGCTTGTGGAGGAGAGGAGGTTCTTACCGGTGGTGGAGGGGATTCATTTGGAGGGGGCGGTGAAGTGGTAGAAGCTGGGGGAGGCGCAGTAGGTGGCGATGGAGGGGTTAACGCTGGAGGGGCTGGTGGTGGGGATGCTGGGGGTGATGGTGGTGGGGCAGATGGTGCAGGTGTTGAGGGAATTATTGGTACTGGTGGCGGTGACAGGGGTGGAGCTGGAGGGGAAGCAGCAGGTGGTGCTGGTGGTGAAGATTGAGGAGGTGGGGTTGCAGGGTTAGATGGTGTTGAAGGCACTGGAGGGTTAGTGGTCTGATCAGGCTGAGATGTTGAGGGAGGTGGTGAAGTGGAGATTGGTATTACAGAGGGGGAAGAGTCTGGTGAAGGTGTTAAGGAAGCCATGATTGCATCTAACAAGGTGTCTAAATCTCTTACAAATCCATATCTAATTGAGGAAAGTCAGTAACTAAAACCTAAATCTCAAATTGGCACATCACACATCAAGATTACATCATTTGTTAGATACCATACTCCACAATATACAAAAGACTCGAGCTTCGTCAACTCTTCCACTGCCAACTTCCCAGATTCTTCAACAAAAGACAACAATATACAAAACCCAATTCAAAAATTCAAGAAAAAGTAATCCACTTTATCTTCTTCACTGGGAAAACCCAGATCCTCTAAATCTCAGACAGCTCAAAGAATCTAAATTTACAACACAAAAAAAAAAAAAAAAAAAAAAAAAAAAAAAAAAACTAAGCAAAACCCAGTTCTCAAAGCTCCTCAATGAGGAAAACCCAGATAAGAAAAAGACAAACCTTGAACAAAAATGAGATCCACTAAGCCAGTTAAACTGCAAAACTATCTTTTTTCTATCTAATGAGCAAATGCAGCATTACCCAGATCACCAAAATGACAACAAAGAAGACCCAGAAGAGAAAAGTTGAAGAATGTCTTACCTATCCCTTTCAAAATGAAGAAATTTGGGCACTTTTGTTTGTTACAAGTTGTAAACTTTGAATTCTAATGGTGTTTTTTCAAGAAGAAAGAAATTCTGTTGTGTTTTTCTTGTACATGGGGGTGTGTGTGCCCACAAATTATGCAAAGAACGTGGGGGCAACTTTAGAAGAGCAGTCTTTACTTTAGTCTATACTTCACATGTAGTAGGAAGGAATGTACGATGGACGGATAGATAGAATATTGGGAGAGAGAGAGAGAGAGAGAGAGAGGAATTTTTGTTTTTGGTGATTCAACCACAGCATGTTCTGAAACTCGGAACCGTTACCATCTAGCGGTGCATAATAAAATATAAATTAACAGTTTCAGTACCATGGTTACATTTTTTAGCAAGTTTTTTTTTAATCTATTTTAAACACTACAGTAGATATCTTTGAACTAATTTTCTTTTTCAATCATGTTTAAGATCGGTTAAAATGAAAGCACACATGTATAAAGAAATATAATTTTTAATGTATCTTATTATGAAATAATGAATATCTATTTCATATTTTTTATGATCCAAATAATTCAATTCACCATTCAAAATGAGAAATTAATAGTTTATAATTCTTTCAACTTCTCTTCCTAATCTTAAAGTTTATAAATAGGTTTGATTGTTCATTAGTTTAAGTACAAGTATTTTGTAGTGATTAAGAGATTATTTTGAGTTGTTATCTCTTGTATTCACTTTATTTTATAGTGAATTCATTTTTCTATCATCTTTCTCTTTAATTATACTATTGTTACTATTTTTTTATAACACATTATTAGCACGTAGCTCTAACCAATTAAGATAATGGACCATGAGGTATGTATCTATCAAAAGACTTAGTTATTTTTTTCAATCATTGGATTTTTTTTTTTTACACAAGTGCTCTACCAAAAGATCTAAATTATTTAAATCATTAAGAGGTATATATCTAATTTATCATTCACTTTAAATCTAATGATTCATAGAATATATATTTTAAAAACTTAAAGGATTTAATATATAGAATCTAATAATCTAATATATATTATTTGAAAAGTTTAAATTTTATTATTATGTTTGTTTTTATTTAAATTTTATCATTATATTTTATTTTTATTTCTTAATATTATTATTATATTTTGCATTATAGAAGTTTTATGATATCAAACCTCACAAAACTTTATTTTGTGACCCTTGACATTTTGGGCAAGAATTATTGATACATAGAGGTATATCTAAAAGGCATGTATCTAATTTATCATGCACTTTAAATCTAATGATACATAAAATATACATTTTAAAAACTTAAAAGATTTAATATATAAATTTTTTATGCTATCAAACCTCACCAAACTTTATTTTGTGACCGTTGACATTTTGGGTAAGAATTATTGATCATGAGTGTTTGATGTTGAGTAAATATTCTCTAATTTTTATATGTCTCGAATATGCTCCTGCAGTAGCACATTGAGAAAATGAGTTTAAGAAATATTCTGAATCAATTTCATGTTTGCTCATGACTAAACAAAACGACAAGCTATTAATGAAAAAGAATAAATTTCGTCCAATTGAATCTATTTCAATCCCCGAAGTGAATATGACAATTTATAATAATTTTAGGCATGGACAAAAATGTGGTCATAGCCATGCACATGGCCGGAATAATTATTATTATAATTGTGATGACCATAATATTACATTTTCATCACCAAAAGTGGATAATTATGAAAAAAAAAACAATAAAAATAAATAAAGTTAGTATTCGAAAATGAATGGTATAAATATGGTATGAATAGACATTGGTCGTGTACTCGTCGTACACCAAGGCACCTCATTAAGCCTTGTTAAACCTCGTTGAAAAAAGAAAAGAGGAAAATGTAAAGGTCGATTTTATATATCAAAATGGAGGTAATTGAAATTAATAACTCGTTAACTTTTTTATTTATAAATAAGATGTTTTATATTTTCTTATAATTTGTATTGCATAGAGATAGTGATAAATTTATTTATTTGTGTTTATAAAGATTTTTTTTTTGTTTATTTATTAATTATTTATTTTATGTTAATATTATATCTAATAATATCAATTTAACATAAAGCTCCATAAGAGCGATTATATTATTACCCGAAGAGAAAAAATTTTTAAGCTCTAGAAAAGCGAATATATTATTACTTGAAGTGACATAATTTAAAGGCTTAAGAAGGGCAAATATGTTGTTATCCGAAAGGATAAATTTCATGATAAACAATGTACTATTCTCTTCGAGTCTTGTAGAAATTTATTGAGTTTCAAAGATATTCATCTAAATTGATATCATATCAAGATATCAAATATGAATAATTATATATTATAATCATTATACCGAGTAAAAAATATGTATTGAAAAATTTACCCACTTTCTCTTCTAGTCTTTATTACAAATATTAGAATGGTTGAAACAAATATTATAGTAAACTAGAAGTTTACTAATTCAAATACTTTTATTATGTGGCATGGCCGATTGTGTTATCCCGAATCTTTTATGATACGAAAAATTATTAAAAATTCATATGGACATCTATTGAAAAGCCGAAGATTCTTCAATTTAATGAATTTTATATTCTACATGTTTTCAAGGTCAATTATTTATTAAGCCATCATCAAATAAAATTGAAATTGAATCTTCGATATTTTTAGAATGTATTCAAGGTGATCATATATGTGGATCAATTCATCCACCATGTGGATCATTTAGGTATTTTATGATTTTAATAAATGCACCACAAGATGGTCATATATATGCTTGTTATCTACTTGAAATCGACGTTTTCGAGATTACTAGCAAATAATTTGATTTTGAGCATATTTTTTGGATTATACCATTAAAACAAGTCACCTTGATAATGCTAGTGAATTTATTTATCAAGGATTAAATCATTATTGATTAGGTATTAGAATAAAGATTGAACGATCTGTTACTTATGTTTATACTCGGAAAGATTTAGCATAATTATTTATCAAAAAGTTTCAATCGATAGCTAAACTATTATTTATAAAAACAAAACTCTATGTTTATATTTGGGGACATGTAATCTTACATGCAGCAATACTTATTCGCATTATACCTATAAGTTATTAGAAATTCTCCTCCCTTTATTGGTTTATGATCATGAATCATGAGCCAAATATTTCTTAGTTAATAATTTTTTTGCATTGCGAGTATATCCGTAGTGCTCCTCCATAATGAACTAAAATGAGCACTTAAAGGAGATTGAAAATATATGTTGGATTTGAATCCTTTTCAATAATTAAATATCTTGAACCATGAATAAGAGATATTCTTATAGCTCGATTTATCAACTATCATTTTGATGAAATAGTTTTTTCAACATTAAGGAGAGAGAATAAACAAAATAAGCAATTGAATATGTTGAAAAAAGAGATTACATGGAGTACTCATCTTTATATCAACTTGATATAAAACAATGTGAACTAGAAGTTTATAAGATAATTCGTTTATAAAGTATTACAAACCAACCGCTAAATGCATTCTCGGATCCTAAAAAAGTAACTAAAATGCATGTCCCTACTAAGAATGCTTATATTAGAATTGATGTCCTAGAAGGATAGTCTCTTAATGTTATAGCTAATGAATTTAAAGTATGTCTGAAGCATGGAAGACCGATCGGTTCTAAAAGAAAAAATTCTCAAAAGAAAGAAAAAAATAATTAAAATAAAGGATGCAAATATTCATAAAATGTCCTAAGATATTTCTAATAATAGCTTCGGAAGAAGTCCAAATGCTTGAAAAAAATCTAAGAGACTTTGATAAATTATATCAATACAAGGAGAAAATAGGATCGAAAAGAAACATTTATTGATAAGATTTTTGCATATAATGTTTGAATTGATATCTTAAATAAAAATAAGGATCCCGAGCCTAAATTTATTAAAGAATGTCGACATAAAGATGATTGGCCTAAATGAAAAAAGCAATCCAAGCAGAATTATATTCTCTTACAAATGATTAGCTTTTTGAACCCATAGTTAAAATAATCGAAGATGTTAAGCTAGTAGGATATAAATGTATATTTATGCAAAAATAAAATAAGAAAGATGAGATTGTAAGATACAAAGCAAGACTTTTAATACAAGAATTTTCGCAAAGAATTGACATTGACTATGAAAAGACATATTCTCCTATAATATATGTAGTTATATTTTGTTATCTTATTAGCCGAGTAAAATATATGAAAAAATTCATATACATGCATTTAATGAATTTGATCATAGCTTATTAATTCAGTTAAAAATGATATCTATATGAAAGTCCTAGAAGGACTTAAGATGCTTGAAGCATATAATACATATTCTTGAGAAATGAATTCAATTAAATTATAGAGATTTCTATCATAATTATTTTAGTATTGGTTTTATTATTTCATTTTT